AAGACGAACCAATTCTTCTCGGAGTTCATCGCAAGTACACTATTGATGTTCGTCATCTTCGCGTTGAAGGACCCGAGCAATAACGGAGTTCCGAAGGTATGGCCTATAGGCATCATTGAGGGATAGTACTGACTTTGCTATAGTCCGACAAATGGTTCCCACTTTGCCTGTTCTTCCTCATCTTCGGCTTGGGGTCTTGCTTCGGCTGGCAGACTGGTTATGCGATCAACATCGCTCGTGACTTCAGCCCAAGATTGATGTCGTATGCTGTTGGATATGGCCATGAGGTGTGGTCGGCTGGGGGCTACTACTTCTGGGTATGTCTTCTGATGGCGCTGATAGCTCTTGCTGACCATGTCTAGATCCCGATGGTGGCACCATTCCTTGGTTGCGCGTTTGGAGGCTTCCTCTACGACATCTTCATTTACACGGGTCCCAGTCCCATTAACTCGCCATGGCTCGGGTTGAAGCAGCTGACTCCAGGTAACGCGATGCGAGCGAGGAGAGAGCACATAAGGAGAGAGAAAGAAGAGGGGATTGTGTGATGGTTCCCTTTCTGTATCCGGCCAGGAAGCTTCGTGATATAGATGATTCAACGGAAAGAAATGCAGCTCTGAAACTGCCAACTTCTCTTTGTTGAGATATTCTTTGTTCCTGATATATGTATACAGGCGGTTGTAAGCCGAAATGAATAGCATCTCATATATTCAACAAGAGCGAAGACGTTTGCGAGTACGCGTGGAAAGAGCCTTCAGTCTTGCTTAGTCATTCACGCGTGTCGGTGTTGTCTGACGCCATTGTGCCCCGCTGATGCCCGCAAGCCGCTGTCAGGCGCCGCATACCAAACTTTGACTCACTCGCAACTGCACACCACACATCGAAATACTCGCGCACCACGTCCATCCACTTCGGAAACAAACACGATCTCGCATACCTCACAACACAATGGCGAAAAAGGGCGCGGCCGGCGGCGATGGAGGGGGCTCGAAGAAGGCACAAGGACAAGCCCGCAAGGCAGACGCCGCTGCATCGAAGCAGGCTGCAAAGAACCAACAAGCTGAGAAGGCAGAGGCAGAGGAATGGAACAAGGGCGCAAAGTCAAATGCAAAGGCGTACGTGCATCTTCGCCCCTACTTACGCAGTAGCTAATATATCATAGCGAGGCCGCAGCAGAAAAGGCCGCTGAGGCAGCCCGTAAGAAGGCTGAGAAGGAAGCCCTGCTCCGTGAAGAGGAGGCTTCCCTGCCCTCCAAGCCCAAGGGCAAGAACCCCAAAGCCGAGAAGAAGCCCCGCGGGGGCGGCATCGACTCAGCGCTCGGCTCCTTCGACGCGAAGCCTGGCGCGCTCAACGCCACCGGTATCGACAACGCGCTCGACGCTCTGGATATCACAGGCAACAGCCAGGATAAGGTGGACCGCCATCCCGAGAGGCGCTTCAAGGCCGCATACGCTGCGTTTGAGGAGCGAAGACTGGACGAGATGAAGGACGAGAAGGGTCTGCGACGACAGCAGAAGATCGACCAAATTCGCAAGGAGTTCGAGAAGCACCCCGAAAACCCGTTCAACCAAGTCAACGCATCGTACAACATGACCAGAGAAGAGATCGCAGCACTGCGCGAATCAGAGAAGGAGAAGAAGGAGAAGAGACTTGTGGGGGTCAACTGAGTGGCTGTGTTACTTTCGCGTACTAAACATATATGGGGGCGTTCTGGGTAGACCTGCGACGAGACGCCTCAGCGCATGATCGCAGACGGACCGAGGCATGAGTTGGGGGATTTTGATTAAACTCCGCCTCGTGAACGAGCCATGGGTCCGTAAGCTGACTTTCATTATTCAACATTCTTTCCTGTTGCTTATGGTTGTGATGATCCCCGCGCTCTTAGCACTACGACGGCCCCGATCGCCCCTCATTCGTGCGGGTAGTGTACCTCTGGCTGATCATCCGTAGCGTAGGAGATGGTCGTGCAGTCGGTCCTGGTGTTGGTCGTGAGAGCACTGCGACACGCGACGATCTTTTCTTAGCAGCCAAACAATAGCAAAGTAACAGCACATCGGCACGGCCAGTGAACACAAGGGATTTGAGGAGGCCAAATAATGAAGGACAAGCCGCCCGGACGACCGTACAGTGGCGCCAAAATGGAGGCCCAAAAGCAGCGCAGCCGCCGGACCTGAAACATGCGTGCTAGTTAGCCATTGGCCGACACCAAATCCGTTCCTGCGTTTCGAAACGCCCGCTTGCCCAATCCCTGCTGCACCCGCGCGCTCCTTCCCCGACTGCCCTCACCGAAGAAATATGGGTCCACGCGAGTTCGATCTTAGATAAGCCCTACTCCCGGCATTCACCATGCGTGCTTTGCTCTCCTTCACATTCTGCAGCCTCGGCGCTATACAGTCGTTCTTTTCTTCCCTTTCTCTCTCCCGACTTTTTGTCGTTACCTTCTTTTGAACTCTACTCATTCGTTTCTCAACCAATATGAAGTACTTTACCACTACTGGAGCAGTGCTCCTCAGTGCCCTTACAGCGACCGCCGGCGGTATCAAGTTCGACCCCGAGGATGAAGGTGAGGATATTCGCAGCAACCGCGCTACAAAGCTAACCTTCAAAAGCGTCAATCCTCGCCGTCACTCGACAGTATGCGTACGGACTGATGTCGATGTACCAGGGCAACGCGACAGGCACGGCCATCGAGGGCGTCGGAGTCTGGCCCAAGCCCCACTACTGGTGGGAGGGTGGCGCCGCGTGGGGTGGCATGATCGAGTACAGCCAGTTCACCGGCGACGACTCACATGTCAAGACGCTCCAACAGGCATTGACTGCCAACTACGGCCCCGACAACGACTTCATCCTGTCTTACCGCAAAGGAGAGACTGGCAATGATGATCAGGCTTTCTGGGCGCTTGCCGTCATGAGCGCGGTCGAATACCAGTTCCCCGATCCCGCAGATGCGCCTGCGAGCTACCTCGAGGTCGTGACCAACGCTTTCGAGAATATTGTCGGACGCTGGGACGAGACAAGCTGCGGTGGAGGACTGAAGTGGCAGGTGTACCCTGAGAACGCCTATGGCTACAACTACAAGAACTCCATCTCCAACGGCTGCGCTTTCGCCCTCGGTGCACGCCTCGCTCGCTACACCGGCGAGCAGAAGTACGCGGACTGGGCTGTCAAGATCTACGACTGGACCAAGAAGGTTGGACTCATCAGCGACCAGTACGAGGTGTTCGATGGTACAGACGACAAGACCAACTGCGCCACAGTCGCCGACAAGACCCAGTGGAGCTACAACAATGCCATGTATCTCCATGGATCGGCCTTCATGTACGACTACACCAACGGCGAGAGCACCTGGAAGGATCGTACTTCCGGCTTCCTGGATCACGCTGAAGTGCTGTTCTTCAGCCCTTACGAGAACGCCACAGACATCATGTACGAGTGGGCTTGCGAGACGGGCGAATCTGGCCGACACTGCAACCTCGATCAGCAATCGTTCAAGGCATACCTTTCCCGCTTCATTGCTAAGACTGCCATGGTCGCTCCTTTCACCAAGGACAAGATTGTGCCGTTGCTGAAGGCTTCCGCTGTCGGTGCCGCCAAGGCCTGCTCTGGAGGTACTGACGGCGTCACATGCGGCAGCAAGTGGTACACTGGAAGCTGGGACGGCACCTCTGGCGTCGGCCAGCAGCTGTCGGCCTTGGAGGTTACCCAGGCACTATTGATGATCGAAAAGGGTACCCTGCCTGCAAAGGGCAACAGCGCGCCGAAGCCATCGAGCAGCCCTTCCCCCAAGCCTAGCTCTTCGCCAGCCCCATCATCTGCTCCTGCGACAAGCGATGCCGTTTCTTCAGCCACCTCTGTGTCTAGCCAAGTCCCAGCTGCCAGCGAAGCTACTCTCTCATCAAGCGTCACCAGCGAGACCCCTGCACCCAGCAAGGCCCCATCCACCGAGGCGCCTTCGAACGACAACCACAACATCGTTCCCAAGTTCCCGGAGGCTGATGAAGCTCCTGTCTCCACACAGGTTGTTTCATCAGTCGTCGTCGTAACAAGCACATCAGTCTCAAGCTCTCAAGCCTCTGCATCAGGCAAGCCTGCTGGTCAACCCAGCGGAGGCTCATCCAGCAGCTGTGCCCGCAGCGTAACTCGGACGGTGACACTCGCGCGCTCCTCTGCCACCACCAGCTGCACGCCCAGCGTGACTGAGACTGTATACGTACCGGCAGCATCGGCGACTACGGGTCTCGTGGTAGACTCTTCGCCAGCTCCGGTCGTACCTCCTGTTACTACCACGTTGATGTCGGCGCCAGCTGCTAATACCAGCTTGCCCAACCCGACATCTCCAGAGCAGTTCCTCGGCGCTGGCTCCGCCCTCACCGTCAGCACCTCTGTTGTCACCGTGTTGGTGGCAGCGGTGGTCTTTGCTATGGTGTAAGCCTCAATCTGCACATTGCATCTTGTCTTCATCTTCTTTACTGTACATATATACCCTTCTTGCTTTATAGACCACCATATTCCCGGGCCGCTTGACGGCACCCTCTGATAGATTGGAATGTATAATGGTCCTTCCATCTGAACTATCCGCATCTGTGATTATGATTATGACTCAGTCATTAACGTGTGATTCCAATAGCTAACAATGTAGGTAAACTACTGTCAGATACCTTCATCGGTGTGGTGCATCCTCAGCTGTGACTTTAGTGGAGCGGGCTCAGCTGGCTCCTACCCCACTAGAAAAGGGCCGCCAACAATTAATGTGCGATGACATAGCAACCATCCCACTTCCCCGGCCCTATCTGCAACCCTCCACATATCCGAGCTCAACAACGAAAATAGCGCTGCGGATATGCGCTGCTGAAAGCTTGATTTCCTCACCAGAGCCAGCGCCCGTCGGGTATCGGCTATCCAGGTCCGCGCGGATTCGGAACTTCCATTTACTGTGGCCTGATGTTCTCTTCTGCACGCGACCTACATAGAGAAAGTGCTAGAACGTGAAGGTGCGTGACAACATGTCTGAGTCTGCGCTCTGATGCTAACGAGGGACATAACTGTAGCTTCCAACGCAGCTTCATCGTCAGCGACCCTGTTCCGCCGTGCGCGCATTTCGTGCCTCGTCACCCCTCGTGTCCTGTCGCATTCGCCATCGCGTCCGCGGACGGATACGCACCACCAGCCATAGGAGGCTACACCAACCTCGCCCTCCTGGCGGCGCATACTTTATTCTTTACATCCGCCGGCAGCATAATCGTGGTTTAGGTAGCCGCCATGGCGACCCAGAAGAGAGACGCGAAGGGCAAGAAGCTCGCTGTCATGAACAAATACGTCTACGATGCCTTCTTGTGGACGTTCTCGATCCTGGTGGAGCTCTTCTTCCGAGAAGTGCATCCTAGGAGTAGTTGGAAGGTGCCAAAGGAAGGCCCAGTCATCTTCGTGTGCGCCCCGCATGCGAACCAGGTAGGACATGCTGCGACAATACCTCGTCAGCATGCATACTGACAGATGCCAGTTTGTCGACCCTCTCATGTTGATGAGAGTCGTAAAGAAAGAATCCGACCGCCGAATCCAATTCCTAATCGCCGATAAATCGATGAAGCGCAAATTCGTAGGCGCAATGGCTGGCTTGACGGGTGTCGTGCCTGTAGGAAGGGCCATGGACATGACGAAGCCTGCAGAGGGCAAGATATACCTCCCCGATCCCATCAACGACCCGACGCTTGTTCGGGGTGTGGGCACCAACTTTGAAGATAAGAAATTTCAGGTCGGCGGCTCCCTCGTACTGCCTAAAGTGGACAACAAGGCGGCGACCGCTGAGATACTCGAGATCAAGGGCCCGGAAGAGATCAGGCTGAAGCGTGGCTTCAAGGGGGGCGTTGCCATGCAGCAGATGACTGGGCGAAACGACATGACCAAGGACGGCACATTCGTGGACGGAGCCAATGCGAAGAAGGGTATCGCTGATGGTTACGAGGGAACACCCTTCCAGGTAGCGCCCAAGCTCGATCAGACAGAAGTTTACGATGCGGTACACGCGGTCCTCCACCACGGTGGAAGCATCGGTATTTTCCCTGAGGGTGGTAGCCACGACAGAACTGATCTTCTTCCTCTGAAAGGTGAGTTTTCGCATAACTTGAACTTCTCATGTACTAACACCTTCCAGCTGGTGTTGCTATTATGGCGCTCGGTACGGTGCAAACGAAGCCTGACTGCAATCTGAACATTATCCCCGTCGGCATGAACTACTTCCACGCCCACAAGTTCCGATCAAGGGCAGTCATCGAGTTCGGCACGCCCATCCACGTCCCACCTGAGTTAGCGCAGAAGTTCGACGGCCCTGGAAGACGTGAGGCCATCGGTGAGATGCTGGAAACCATTCGTCAGGGTCTTATCTCCGTCACGGTCACAACACCCGACTACGACACACTCATGGTATGTGCAATACACACGCAAAGTCTTTCTCATTGCTGACCCTTCTAGGTCATCCAAGCTGTGCGCCGCCTCTACAACTCCAAAGGCACGAAGCTTCCTCTTCCCAGGATCGTGGAGCTTAATCGCCGCCTCGTCCAGGGTTACGAACGCTACAAAGACGACCCTCGCATCGTCGAACTCAAGAAGGAAGTCACCACTTACAATGGCAAGCTTAAGGCGCTCGGCCTCCGGGATCATCAGGTGCAATACGCCAAGATGCATCCTATTACGGCATTTGGGCTTTTCTTCTACCGTCTTGGAAAGCTGCTCTTCCTGAGCATGCTCGTCCTTCCCGGAACTCTGCTCTTCAGCTTGGTCTTCATTGTCACTAAGGTTGTCTCGATCAAGAAGGCCAGAGAGGCACTCGCTGCATCGAACGTTAAGGTTCAAGCCAGAGATGTCATGGCTACATGGAAGCTTCTCGTTGCCATGGCCGCCGCCCCAACAGCTTACGCCTGGTATGTTTGCTTGGGACTCTACTGGTACTCCTACAACCAATGCAACGGATACCTTCCTGCTGGCATTCAGAAGCGCTGGCTTATCATCCCCCAACTCGTTGTCTACGTCACCCTCACATACGGCGCTCTCCGATTCGGCGAAGTCGCTATGGATATCCTCAAGTCCCTCGGTCCCCTTTGGAAGATGATGAACCCCTTCTCCAACAACGAACTCGTCAAACTACAAGAGCGCCGTGAAAACCTCGCCCAGCGTGTGAACGACATCATCAACGAACTCGGTCCGGAGATGTACGAGGACTTCCATTCCAAACGCATCGTCGAGGATCCCTTCATCAAGCAAGAGCGTCCCAACACACCACCGCAAAAGTCCGACGAAGATGCGGAAAGAGAAGCAGGCCAGGACATCGAAACCTACGACTACCCCGCGTCACCCGGGTCCATCAACGAGATACCACGCAACGAGTCGTTCCACGACCTCGCCAACCAAGACTTCTTCTCTAGTCGACCGCAGACGCCGAAGAAGAGCCGCAGCCGGAATAGCAGCAGTGCGAATCTGGGCGGCTTCCAGCTCAAGCCCTTCAGTACTATCGACGGCAACCTGGATGAAGTAAAGAGGAGATTGACAGACGGTGTCAAGCAGCGGACGCGAAAAAGAAGGAGTAGCGGAGAAGGAAGCTGGGACGACGGCGAAGATGGTGAGGGCCTAACAATGGGAGGAAGGAAAGAGCGCTCGTATACCAAGTAGTTTTTGGTCGCGATGGTGGTTTGGACGAGCGGTGTGTCGGTTTTGCTTGTGCGTTAGTACTAAAGATACCACTTTCCTTTCTTCTCCTCAGCGGTTGAAAATTGGATATGTTATGCATGAAATACGATTTGCTTGCTATGCTTACTTGTAATGCTATGCTGTGTTGTGGTTGTGTTGTGCTATGCTAAGTACTCTTGTAATATCATCGCTTGTACATCGTTCGCCCTGCCTACAAATATGCTTGAATCAATAGAAGAAAGAAGTTACGGATATCCCCATATCCAAAAATGCCAAATCATGCAAAAGCGCTGTACCTAAAATCCAACCTTTCCTCCTGCAAAAGTGGTATCTTGCCTTTCCTTTCTTACCGAATCCAAATCATCGCTATCTCACCCCCAAACCAGTACGTGACACATAGAAAAACCCCCATACCTGGAGTACAGTATCCATCCATCTACCCAACAACAGCCTTCTGACTCAGTTTCTCCAAAAATCCACTAAGATCCTCCTTCTTAATCTCAATCACACACGCCTCGAAGCTGTCCATTCGTACGCGGGCTCCTGTCTCCCTGACAACCTCTTGGAAGGCATTACCGAAGCGATTCCTGCCGGAGCCCCTCTCCTCATCCTCATCTTCGCTATCCTCAGAGTCGTTATCCGAGGAATCAGATTCTTCGGCTTCGGACTCCGATTCATCAGCAACCTCATCTTCTTCAAGCCCCGCGGCTAAATTCCGCGCGACACGCGCTTTACGGCGGGACTCTCGCGCTTCGGCTTTCTGCGCTTGACGCGCCTCTTTAGCTTTAAGTTTAGCTTCTCGTTTCTGAAGACGGGATTTAGCAGATTCGGTTGCGCCGCCGCCGCCGAGACCAACGACAACGTAGAGGCCGCGGGAGTCGTCGAGACCGGCCATGACGAGCTCGCTGCCTTTGTTTTTGCCTTTTGTGCCGTTGAGTTCGACGATGGCTTCGGCGATCCAGAGGGCGAGTTTGGTGAGGGCGCCTGGGTGGGTGAAGAGTTGGACGTCGGGGCCTTCTTTTACGACGGCCATGCGGAAGGCGCGGAGGTGGCGGATTTGTTTCTTCTCGATTAGGGCGGTTCCGGTACGGAGGATGGCGCGGTGGAGGTGTTGGGCTGTGCTGATGTGTTCGACGAGGCGGTCGATGTCACCAAGGGCGTCGTAGGCGGTCCAGAAGCGGCTGGTGATGTGTTCTTGGGCGAGATCTTGTTGTTCTTGCGTGGAGGAGGGCATCTCGGTGTGTTCGTTGGCTCCGACGAAGTTGGAGCTGTCGAGGGCGGATTGGTTGAGGTTCTTTGCGTCGCCGACTTCGAGGATGGCTCCGAGGATTACACCGGCGTCGATGGCGGAGAGACATGCTTTCCAGCCCCAGCAGCGTACGAAACCCCATCCGTCTTTGGGGTCGCCTGTACCTGACTTTGGTGGGACGAGACCATCGAGACCGTATTGTGGAGCGAACTTCAGAAGGCGTTCTCGGAGGCCTCGCTTGAGTTCCATATCCATGTGCGTGTATCTTTGCTTGCACTCAGTGAGTGAAACACCCATCTTGGCGAGGAGTTTGGCAAGTCGCTTTTGCCCTGCGTCGCTCCAGATGTGTAGTTTGGCGGAGAGGTAGGGCGAGTGGAGCATACTTTCGTAGAGAGACCAGTGCCGAAGGAGAAGGAAACGCGGTTCGGGCGAGAGGCGGATTGACTTGTCGGTTGCTGAGAGAGCGCTTGTTGGGATGACACCCCACACTTCGCCCATTGTTGCATTGCGGGACACACTCGAGGCGTCTGTGACGGGATTCAGTCGACGTACTTCGTCCCGCAGAACAGAGCGTATGTTCTCTCCGCGATTGCCATTCCAGCCTGCTGAGCCACCTTGTGCTGAGAGGGGGTTGAGACCAACACCGCTCCCTGTCCGCCCATATAGTTCCAGACTGCTGACACCAACGATGGCATTCCATAGCAGGTCATTGTCTTCGCGGCCGAGTTCCGATGCTAGATTGTACACGAGAGAAGAGACGGGGTCTGAGTAGGAAGTGCCGAGTCCGTAGTATTTGTCGAGTGTAGATGCGTACTTGTCCCGCTTCTTGATCAGCTGCCTTCGTAGGCTCTTCAACGACTTCTCTTTCGGTGCGGCTACTGATGGGGATGCGGATCGGCTGCGGGAGTCTGAACGAGAAAAGTCGGAGGAGCCGCCTAGTTGTTGCGCTGCTAGCAGGCCTCTTCGCCGTCTCGGTTCGGGTGACGACGGTATTGAGCCTCCCTGGGCAATGTTAGCATGGCCTTCATGTGGACATTGACTATACATACCGAATTGCTCCTCCGTCTTTGTGCTGGCCGCTCGTCATCTGTCATGTCATCCTCAGAATCGTCTTCCTCGCCCCACGACTTCCTTTTCTTCGGTGCTTGTCCGGATGGCGGCTCCTCGTCATCCTGCTCGTCCGAGTCGTCGCTGATGTCGTCTTCGTCCCCCACCTCGGGCATCTCCTCAAGGCCAGCGTATGCTTCACGTTCTGCCTGTAGTTCTTCGTCGATGTCACCATCATCAAAGACTATGATTCCACCTCTTGACGACTGATATGACTGCGTGATCTTGCCCTTGTCCACCCCCGCTTGTCTCCGCACGAACTCTCCCGTTGCGGGGTCCTGACTTATGGGGGCGGCAAAAACGTTCGTCAAATTCCACGGCCGTCTCGCGTCCAAAAGCCAGACCTCGACATCGCCAGTGCCACCCTCGCCATCCTCATCCACATCGAGGCCTAGTATCTCTTCCATGTCCACCATGCCTCCGACGCCCAGACATATTACGACGCCTCCACTTCCACCGTCTGTTGTCCGCATGGGCCGTACCAGTTCTTCTGCCGCTCGTGATAGGTCGCCATATCCAGCTATCGGTTGGATCTTGTGTTGTATGTAGTCACGCTTCAATAACGCGGTAAGGATTCGGCAGGCACAAAGCGCGTCGGGTTCGAGGGCGACGAGGAGTAAAACGGGCGGTGCAGCGGCATGTGTGCGTTTAATGAGGTTCTGGTATAGGTGGGCTATGAGGTTTCGCGGAAGGTACATGGCGGCGGCGGTAGAGTGGTTTGCCCTGCGTGCGGGTGTCGAGAAAACGCGCTGCGAGACGCGTCGGGAGGATTTGAGAGGGGCTGGTGGGGCGGCGTGAAGCTTATGGTATGCTCTGCATTTGCGGGGCGAATAATAGAAGACGTGATTAAAATAAAGAGTATGGCAGAAGGGCAATTGGCATGCGTGGGTGCGGATGCTTGCACAGCTCGTATGCGTGTGGTATCGAGGATGCCCGAGACGCGTTCGGCGCTAGCCGCGGAAATGGCTTCGCTCGGACGCGCCTCTGACGTGAACATTCACCCTCATCTCGATTCCGATCGCGACTCATCTACGACAGACACAAGGTTCGTGACATGCATGACTGAGTGCTGTCCGTGTTCCAATTTTTATTCATGTCGACCTCTTACGTGTTCTAGCGAGTTTCCTCGTCCGGGTAGCCAGACACCCGCCGCCACCTGTAAGTAGTCCATCCATTTACCATATACCCAGAGCATGCATTCCGCTCCGCCCATCCCAATGCTCTATGAGCGTTATCGAACATGCAATCAAAACTTTTCCTCCTGCTCATTGCATTCCACCTGTCATCATGTTATCATTCGTGATCAAATCTCAGCCAATCCCGTCGCACTCATCCTCTCTCAGACCTCCAGGCTCATTGCCTTAGTTGGAACCGAAATGCTATTCTGGCTCTTGCTTGACGATCGGAATGTTCGTTTTCTGGCTCCAATCGGCTTGACCTTGGGGATGAAGTACGCCGTTGGCATCCAGGCGACCAGCAATGCCAAATTCCACATCGCCGCTGCGATGATCAACCCCATCTTCACGCTTGATACGCATGGGCTCCAACTGCACCAAGCATGGTACAATGTCGTAACGCTCGTCAAGCTTCTCTCCACGGGCATCACCCCACTTGGTAAGACCAGGATTGACCACGAATGCCACCACTCCATCGTTGATGTCATCACCATCGCGATCAGGTACAGAAGTCATCTCGCTCTCGACGAAGATACATCCGGTAGAAGGGTAGGTGATCTGAAGGCGGCACCGCTGGAGTGACATCTGCTTTGCTAACGCGAAGGCCTTGTCGATGATGCCACGCAATTGCGAGCAATTTGATGCTGGAAGTCTTGCTTCAAGATATTCCTCCGCCTCGTCTGCGAGTTTCTTGCGAGGGTCGACACTAGTCGTCTTCTTACGCTTGAACTTTGGCTCTACGTCTGAATCTAGGCGGAAGGCTTCATTCATAGACTCATGCAGATGCTCTATGGTGGTACGACGCCAGTTCTCGCACACAGCTGTCGGTACAGGCCATTCGTGGTGATGTTCGTCTCCGAACATCTCGATCCACGCCTTGTGCACATACTTGACGTTCTCCCCGAGGATCGTGAAAGGGTTTCGGAAGACACGCTTGATGAGGATAGTCCATATCCAGGCCTCCAAGAAGGTCTTTTTCCGGGCGCGACCTTCCCAATGATGTTCGGAAACATCTTCCAAGAATCCAGGCGAAGTGAGAACATTTGGGACATTCATATCATCGGGGAACCGGACAGAGCGACTGAAGGCTTTGATTGACGAAGCGAGAACTTGGAAGTCTCGTTCGAATTGATTATCAGAGACGATTTGCATCTGCTCAATTCTGCTCAGTGCATCTTTCTGGAGACCCAGGACTTGTTTGTAAAGGGCTTGGTTTTGATCTTGTAAGTTCTGTATGTTGTCTCCCATGTCTCGGCTTTTGTTGTTGATGTCCTCCTGTCGTTGTTGTAGTTGCTCCATATCGCCCTGCAGTTTCTGGGCTCGTAGAGCGTCTTGTGAAAGCGGACCCAAAACATCGTCGTAGAACTCGCCAGTCTTCTCGTCCATACGGAGATGTTTGCCTCGTGCGTAAGGAATGACTACCTGGAGCATGACTGTACTCCACTTTGTCTGCATCTTGCGAGTCCTGATGTTTGATATCTCTTTCTCGTTGATTAAAGCTTTGACTTCATTTCGGGCTTTGCGAAAGTTGCCCTCAAGACTACTATATCGGTGTCGCTCTCTTCGTAGTTGTGCTTGGTTTTTCTCAACTTCGTCCGTAAGTTCTTGGATAAGGATCTTGGTTTCCTGGTTCAAAGGGCCTTGGGTCGCGTGTCTTCCACTCGCATTCTCGCCAGTCTGACTTCGCAGTTGCCTGCCGTTGTTGCGTTCCATTGCAGTTGCTGATTTCTCGGACGTTCCGCTGAAGTAATTGCTCTTTTTGTGTCTGTCAGCACCGAGCGATATGATCAAGTGAGTGGAATGTCTAGCTACCATAGAACTGAACGTCTTTTTCCCTAGTGGCATCATGCGATGTAGCGAGATTGGCAATTTGCTTGTTCAATTAACTGAGCGTGAGTAAATACGAATGTTTCAGTCTTGAGCGACAGAGGTAGAAGGTATGGAGACCGAGTTATTTTAGGTGTGGTCTGGGCTAACAATCACCTTGGTGAGTCTGTGAGCTATCTCTATTACTTCGCCTCACTTGCTAATACCCGTCAGAATCGTCTTTCGAGTACAATAATACCTTTACCTGCAGCCCGCGAGACGTCTGTTCTTTTACTAATAGACTCTGCTTGTATTTAAACTCATCACTCTGCTGCTTTGCTCCTTCATTCCACCCCATCACTCTGTTGACAACAGACATTCAGCAGACATCATCATGAAGGGAAATAAGCTTGTCATAGGTCTCGACTATGGAACAACGTACACTGGTAAGTATAAACTTTACGCTGCTATATCTGCGCGCGGAAGACTAACATGAACAGGCGTATCTTTCTGCGAATCTAGCACTGGTGCGCATGGAGATCACATCGAAGTGATTCATGACTGGCCTTCACAGAGCAGCAAAAATGCGACACAAGAGAAAGTACCTAGCGAAGTCGCTTACCGTGAAGAGGGCATCCTCTGGGGTGCGCTCATACCCGCAGATGTTCCTCGGCACATGTGGACAAAACTTCAACTTGACCCCCTTCAAGCCGGAGAAGTCACGAAGATCAACCGTGAGATTGCAACTTCTGCACAAAATGCAAACAAGCAGCCGGATGACGTGATCACCGATTTCCTTACTCAGGTCAAGGCACACTTGATCAAGAACTTGGACCAAAAGTATGGAACGGCTCTCTGGCGAACGATGCCGATCACCCTAGTTGTCACAGTACCAGCTACATGGTCCGACCTGGCTAAATCACGTACTCTGGAGGCTGTCAACAAAGCGGGCTTCAATACGCTAGAGTTTCCGCAACCGGTAACGACCATTCTGACCACTGAACCCGAGGCAGCCGCCATCCACACAATGAGAACTTATCGAGGTGAGTCAAAACCCATATGTTCTTTGACTAACCCAAGGGTACTTCAGATGTGTTCACAAAGCGACTTGACGCTGAAACGCCATCTGAAGTCTCTTGGCCTATCTGAACAAACGATCTTTCCTCGTCTCCACGCTTGTCCGCAGCAAGGATACAGCTAGCTGACTCTTCCATGATAAGGTACGACACAGGACGCTCACTTCGCTGAGGGAGATGGGTTCATCGTATGCGACATGGGAGGCGGTACTGTGGATCTGTAAGAAATCCCAGGTGCGAATCACGTACGAGGCAGATACTGACTCTGGGTCCGATTCGCAGCATCTCGTACAGGGTCACTGGCCTGAATCCGACTGTCATCGAGGAAGCTACCGTGGGATGTGGTGATCAATGCGGCGGCAGCTCTGTCGATCGTGGCTTCTTACGATGGCTTGAGGGTCGTATCGGTACCGCCGACTTCTTGAAGATCGCCGGGTGCAGAAGTGAAGAAGTGAAATACACTTCACTCGAGAAGAGAGCTGCAACTATGCTCCAGCAGTTTACGTCCGGTCCCAAAGCAGGATTTTCGGGAACCGAGTCATACATCATGCCGTTGCCATTTCCTTTGAGCAGGATCGAGGATGATGAAGCTCGAGGAATCAGCGATGGAGAGATTCAGATCACCCCGTAAGTGTTTCTTTCTAGATCAGACACATTTGTACTAACTTTATCAGTGAGGACATGGAGAGCATGTATGAAAAGTCCCTCGCTCGTACATACAAACTCATCGCCCATCAATACCGAGCGGCTACTGACACCAAGAAGATCAAGATGAAGGCAAGTTCAATAATTCTCCTTGTTCGTCATCTGCTTACCATACTAGTACATTCTCATGGTGGGCGGATTCTCTGAGTCGCCATACATGCGCCATAAGATCATAGCATTCGCCAATGAGTTCAATCTGACAGCCATCAGACCGAGCAATCCGTAGGCATCACTAGACCTCAATCATTGGTTAACGCTAACATACAATGCAGTTGGTCTGCTGTCTCTCAAGGAGCTGTCGCTGTCGGTCTTGAAGCACAGAAGCCAGAGCAAGGAGTTGTTCAAAACCGCAAGTGTCGCAGACACTATGGTATACCCTGTCACTCATCATTTCAGAGTGGAAAGCATCTGGAAGCCGATGCCTATATCGACAGGTACAGCGGCGCTAAGAAGGCTAATAACCAGACCAGGTGGTTGCTCAACAAAGGCCAAGATCTTGCTACTACTAAAGTTCCACACGCAACGATGTCCTTTTCTACGAAGTTCTGGCCCCACGAGGCGAGAACCCACAGAGTAAGACTCATCGCAACGAACTCCGACGAGGCGCCTCAACATTCTTATGATAAGGTAAGAACACAGCTGAACGTACTGTTCTTGTGCTAACGTGTAGTAGGGTGTCTTCTCAGTCGTGACACTCACGATCGACTTGTCTAAGGTTCCCAAGAAGGAGTTCAAGGCCAAGCGATCTCCGGATAGGCGCCAATACCACCAGATCAGTTTCGACGTTGAGATCTCTATCCAGTCTGCTCTGCAGTTCTCTTGCTCGGTCAAAGGCAAGAACGTCGGCTCCATCACTGCGAAGTATGAGTAGCAGCCTACATTACACTCACCTGGGAACACATGCTTCTCATATGTGCATTGGAGTTTTCACGGTTCCGACTTCTGGAATGCGGCATTATACTTTCTCGGCTTCATTTTCGCGTATGAACTCTCAAGATAGGGAAAAGGAAGAGAGGGGGTGGGTGCATCCTGGATAAAAGCGTAGCTCATCGGAGAGATTGGCTAAGTTAGCGTTGACTTCATTTTCTTCATTGCAGCAAATTACGAAATTCTTCGATAGCTACACAGTTAGCTAAAGAGCCACTTACCTTGAACTCAAATGCACTCTGAACTTCCTTGCCTCCTCCCACCGTGCCACCACCACATCCTACCCACCACGCCACAACCACCCCATCACCCCCTCCAACCACGCCTCCCTCAGCAAACCCCCTTTCAACCCCTCAACAATCATCAAACCCCCACCAATCACCACCTGCCCCTCTGCCAAGCCCCCAAACTCTCTCGGCCCAACCGTCCCTTAGCACCACGCACTAAGTCACGTTACCTCCAACTCATGCGCGTCATCTCACCAACCATGCCCTTTCCAGCCATACAGCCGACGCGAAAAGTGGGGCCCAACGATCCCCAAGGCAATGAGTGTGAAACGGCGATCGTGGGAAAGGTTTAGGGTGCTGTGTGGCGTTTGAGCTTGACGGGCGGTGCGGTGGCTTGGGTTAAACGCGAAGACGCGCGAATGTACGCGAGGCACGCGATGGGGGAAGCGAGGCGAGGGGCTGGGTAGCTTGGGTTGGGTCCGGCAGTGAAGGGAGGGGGGATGTGGTGCGAGTATGGGCTGGAGCGAACCGAACCATTACCAGTTTTTTCTTGCTGGGGCAAGCAGATGGGGGTTATGGTCGGAATAGTGTAACGTGTTTGCATAGATGGGAGTGTCTGGTAGAGAGACGGGATGGACTGCGGCTCGAGAGAAATGTATTCCGCGGTCTTCACGACCTTTTTGTTGGACTGATGGACCAGTTCCCTACCAGAAGAGCCTGCGACACGTTAATCCTGTCACTCAACCGTCCCCAAACCTTCTCCATCCTCACTGCGCGATGAGAATGCAGCCCAACACGGAAACCACGAACCCAGCTAGCACAAGATCTCGTCTTCGTATCGACGCATGAGCATGGCCTGTGTTAAGTTAGGCACAAATTTGCCCGCACAAGAATCTCGTACCATTTTTCGTCAGCTGTGACGGGAAACCCCGGTGTGTTGCTACTGCACGGCATCGCCCGATGTCACCAGGCAGGTTTTCGCGGCTGTCGATCACTAGTTCAAGCGCGAGTCTGAGACTGGAAGTGCGCAATGAAATCTACGCTACACATTCGCTTTCGCATGTGACGGTGGTAACGAGCCGAGTGGCCGTCTTTGTCTTCCAAATCTTTCAGGGCTTGCGCGCGCTGGTAGTGTATATTGCGGCTGCAGGTACGGCATTGAGGGGTTGCGATGCGAAAGGCACAGCTTATCATCAGGCGCATCACTCATTGGGATTCAGTGTGTAATTTTGAATTGTTTGTATTTTGAGTTCGGTGAGCGGTGTGTTTTTTTGATCCCAAGGAGGGTAGGGTTACTACTCTCTCCGTTGACAGTGTGATACCTAGTACCGTAGCGATGTATAAGAAAGAAACAAAGAGAAAGACGACTTCATGTTGTCGTGATTAATGACTCCGTACCCAAATGCATAATGCCCTCGTCATAACACCATGCTGATAAAGAAAAGCGTGGGGACGACGACGTCCGAAACCACGCGCAAACCGAGAGTGTAGAAAGGGTAGAGACAGCTAAGTCAAATACCCATCGAAAACTGAGTGAACGAGACGGACGCGTGGTGCGATGCCTTCTCCAACGTGTGCGTATTATGTGAACTCGACCTAGTCATCATATGTTCATCCAGGGGAATTCTTCCTCCGCCTCGTCCTCGCATGACAAAATCTTAATATCGGGGCGAAACTCGAGCAAGCCGGTCGCAAAATCTCGATATGGAGGAAGTCGATCGGAGTCTTCCTAGACCTTATAATCCGTCTCCTGTTGAATCTTGATATCGGGCCAAACCTCGGGCAAGTCGATCGCAAAATCTCGATATGGAGGAAGTCGATCGCGGTCTTCCTAGACCTTATAATCTGTCTCCTGTTGAATCTTCTGATCCCATGGATCAACATTTTGATGATCGACGTACGAGGGTACCATGTTAAAGTTCATGGAGTTGTACACCTGTTGACCTGGGTGACCTGGGTGACCTGGATGACTTGGATGACCTGGGTGGAATGGCATCCGTGGTGGTTGTGCGAGAGTGGAGGAAGCGTACAAATTCATGCTATTTGGGTACGCTGGCAGAGGTGGGGGGTCAGAGCCTAAGTTGGTAGGCAGGATGTAGCCAGAGTCTTCTCTCCTCCTCTTGTTGGAGTGCTCGTACTCGTAGGCGGAGTGGTCGATGGGTGCCTGTGTGGTCGGCTCTGGGTTTAAGGGTAGAGTGTACTCTTCCCTTCTTCTTTTAGACGATTGGAACTCGTAGCTTGGGGCGATCTGTGCCTGGGAGGTAGGCTCTGAGTCTGCCTGGAACGAACGCTTGTTGTTCATCATCCCTCTAGCTTCTTTGCGCAACCTGAGTCGAACGCCCTGGTCGGAGAACGCCCGCGAGAGATACGTCGACTCTTCGAGACCCTTGAAGTCTTTGGGAAGTACGACGTCGAACTTCTCACTAAGTACAGAGCCGAGGTTCTGTACCTCCCCACGTGAAGGGTGGAACTCGTACATGCTGAAACAAAGTCTGAAGCTGCCCTGAATCCGGACAGAAATATCGCCGAAGACGAAGAAACCGCCGTCCTTGTTATTAACATCCTTAAGACGATGCAGGGACGACACCAGTGTGCCGGCCATGGATTCATTGGGAGTGTGCTCGACGGGCTCATCTCTGTCCGCTTTGTACAGGGATGCACTGAGGAAGATGTAGGGGTTTTGTAAGAAGCTGTTCGAGGCGTCAACGCCATCCCGAAGGTTGAGCTGGAGAATGGGTGGAGGATCCACAGGCTTCCGGAACTTTTCCTTGCTCTTGACCGCGACCAGTGCCTCTTTAGGCTGCTGGCGGACGGACAGGTAACAATTGTTCGGGCTCAAAGGCTCGGGGCCTTGACTGGCGACTGGTAGTGTGACAGGCATGTGCTGTTGATAGTAGGGCTGGTTATACTGCGGCGGCATCGGGTGGTGCGGATACATGGTTGGGATGTTCATGTTCATGGTCTGGCCCTCTGTAGCAGAGGTCGGCGGTCGTAATCGTGTTGTAAGGAACCCAAGGATCAAGTCTCAGAGACGCCCGAGAATGTGGAGGTGAGATGGAGTCGTCCGGTCGAAAAATACTGAGAACATAAGAGAATTTGGAAATTCGGCTAGCGACCTTTGAGAGAAATACGCGAAAGGTGACCAATCGAACAAAGGCTTGAGTCACTACGGAGTGCAGTGCCGTCCGAAGGTGCGCTGCGTGACCAGTGATTGTAGTGGTAATGAGCGATGAAAATGCGAGTGGATCACCGTTCCATGGGTGGAGGACCCTTTTCGGAGAAAGTACCGTCGAAGCGCGGCTGCCTGTTCTGACTGTTCCAGTCCAGCACAGTCGATAATAATGCGTGTCCTCGTATGGTATGCGCTGCCTTTCTCAAAATTGGAGGCACCTCTGGAAAGCGTCGATATCAGAATGGCGCGCGCGGGAGTGGATCTGGCGCTCGCCTTGCAACGGGACCGAACTAAAGGCCTGCCTGCGGAGAGAAGGTTGACTCCACCCTTGACCGTGACTTCCAACAGAAATAGGCGCAGATATAAGCAACAACGAAAAATGTGTACTGCGCCTGCGTCGCTCAGCACCTGCAGTGTGGAACCCGTAGAACACTGTACTTTCCGCACTGTCTCCGCAAGGCATAGCACCAGCTTGATGTCGAAGAGGAGTTTGCGATTGAACTGAGGTTACGCAGGTCTGGTACCGAACCGTGGTCGAGAGTGCTCTGGTGTGCTCCGAATATTACAACAAAGAGGGCCGTTTCCAACGGCTTCGAGGGTATTAGTGTCGTGCTGGTCGACCAGTCAAGCAGCGATGACGTGTCGGGGGGTAAGTCTAGGGTAATCTGGTAATATTATGGAATTAGAAGTGAAGGTCAGAGGAAGAGCGTCGAGAGCGACGACGTCGCAGTGCTCATGAAGGAAGACGCACAAGAGTAAGACACAAGATAGAAGAGCTGGCAAGGGTACCTCGAGGTAGTCGTCTCAATCGGGGCTCCTCTACACTCGTGCTTCCGTGGCGGCTTCGACGGTGATTCGTCGCTTCCCGTCTAGTCTCGAGTGCAACTGGTGCCGAGCGCGGCCGATCAGTGCTGTAGGGTCTCTCCGAGCTAGCGTGCTAAGAGATGAACGAGCGGCGGCGTGAATCATGCGAACAAGCTCTGGTGCAGCCAATCGAACGTCGCCTGGGCTTCTTTCTTCTTCTGTAGGCACGGTCGCTTTGGAAGCTAAGGTTTCTCGCTTGTTGACACAGGCCTGGTTGATTTTGCTCTTGCACCTCGTCGAGTCCGGAGAGGGCTGCAGTGTGGTTGATGCGTTCTGCAGATGACGTCGAGGGTACAATCGAAAACGACAGGACGGTATGCACTCAGCGAAATACCGGGTTCGCGATGGAGATGGGGCCTTGTCCAGCCCGCTGGTGCATGTGTCAGCGTGCAAGGACGGCACGGCGGGACGAGGTACAAGAAGACAGGCTGGTCGCAGATGCTGTGCCGTAGTGCAGCGACTGTTCTATATGCTCAACAGCACTTTCGAATGAAGCCGAAGAGAGCCCAAGGGTCGTTTGGCGCTAGAATGCAGCAATAGCCCGTCCGCACTATGCTGCCAGAGCGAGGGTAACCCATGCAGCCGGATGGCAGAGCCTGGCTGCACAGACTGCGCGGCAGTAGAGCAAGGATAGCGAGACGGCTTGGATTCAACGGCAATCCCAGGTTTGGGGTTGGTAGGGCACTGTCCAAGGGCATCGAACGGGGGACCCGGTTGCATGCAACGGAAGAGCCCCATGTCTGTAGACACTCACAGAGACGCTCGGAATTTAGCCACTGCAACTACTCTACTTGAGAGGTCGTATATAATGATCCATTGGCGCCCAATATCTCAGCATCACGCCGTTCGACAGCCTGTTTGCTACGGTTCCTCTGATCCGTAGCCAGAGGCACAGAGCGCTCGAGTTAGCTGATGAACGGACCCCAACATATCCGTCGGGACCACTCGCAGGCGAGTGCAGTGGTACTGAACACGTCCACACACATGGCGGCTGTCACACGCTTTCCGACGGCGCACGATGGCGGCTCCGGGACGTGCCTCAGGACTCGAAGGCTAAACTGACAGGACAGTCAAGGCTAGGATACCCACAACATCGTCGCGTATCACTGCAGCAGACGGCACGCACGCTGCGATAGAGTGCCCGGTACGCTCGCTGTCGTCAATCGGACCTGGAACGGGCGTCGAACCGTGCAGGAAACGTCCCCATTGGGCGCTGCAGACCGATGGGGCAATGACGCATTGTGCATTCACGTTCGTCGGGCTGAGGGCGGGTGATGTCGTCTGGAGGCTATGAAGATGCATGTGGGGAGGATGATCGCCGTCGAATCGCGCGGTGGCTGGGAGGATTTCTGCAGGGATGTGGTTCGATTCCAAGCGAAGACCGCCGAATGCTCCGTTCTCCTCATGAAAGAAATTCTACGATGTTACACCGTCATCCGCACCCCCGTCCAACACCCCTTTAGCCACAAACTGCCAGCGAGTGAGAGGCCGGCGCACTTCCTGCGATGCCTCATGTGGCCGGCAGTCTACCTCAGACAGCAGCGCTATAGCCAGCCATGTCCTTAGCGAAGTCTTGCCGGGTCACCATCACCAGGTAACACTCGCTGTCGTCAAAGCACGATGATCTGAGTGCTAGCTGCTTGCTTGTTGCGCCTCTACGACAGATCGTCTCGTTGTCTCGGCAGCTTTCCCTCGTGCACCACGTCTTCTCTCCGTCCTCCGACGTCCGCTGTTCCTGCAGGATACGAGAGCCTCCCGCTATTGGCCCTTTGCATATGTTGCAAATATTGTCCCAACATCGACCTTGTATGCGCTTAATTTACTTTTCGCTTACTACGGCGGAGGCTCGGGCTGTTCATCGTTGTCGAGAGATTATCAGCTGCCGTCACGGGCTGCCATGAGGTTCACTGTCACTCAATATTGCAATACTAGTCAGGCGTGCACTCTGGGATATCGCAAATCTGCCTGCACAGTCCAAACAAAAGGGTTACCCTTCTGCTCTGGTATCCGGCCTCCATCCAAGCGTCTTAATCTGGATATTTGCATTGTGCAAGCTCGGAAACCTTTCCAGTGCCTCGCGGTTGTGGGCCCCTCATGCGGATGTGGGGTGGTGACATGGCCTCTATCGCAAAGACCTCGTGGACATTCTCCCTGCATCTTGTTGGATCTAAGATCTCTACTGCACAAACACGGTTGGTATCTTGGGACACATCGCGACTAGGCTTCTGGTTCCGTTGAGCCGTATGCAGTGGACGCAATGAGTCTTAGGCGCCATAGCCACGTTTACAACTGCCGCAGCAAGGCAATGATCGAAAGAATGAACACACATGGTTCACAAACAATGCACTAACGACCATAGTACATTCTCGTGCCAAAGATCGGACGGCTCGCTGCAACTACACCACCGTGCGTCTGGGCTAAGATGTCAGTAACAACAGCCTTGATCTGTAAGATCAGCTGGTGATTTGACATGAGCATGCGTCGAGGCGGTCAGTAGATATGCATCCCGGCATACTTTTTCTAGCTGTGAAGCTTGTCAAACAATTCTTTGAGTGTACATTGCAGATTATCAACGGCACACACCGTAGACATGACGGTTGCGTACACCTCAGACGGGTTGATCGGCATTCACAGCAGTACCTATGGGATTATTATCAGCCCCCCAATAGGGCCAGATGGCGCTGCCTCTCTGCCGCCGCAACTAACGACTGCTTACATGCAGCTTCGACGCCAACTACCGTCCGGCGGCCCCGAAATCCATCATCCATCCGAGCAGGATACTGTCGCATGATAATCACTACACCGGTCTTGGGTTACACGGCACTTGACTGACAGAGTGTAGCACGGCTGCACTTCGCCTGCCCTAGCTACTCGAGTCGAGTGCCCCTCGAATGCGAATGCGGCCAGGTCCAGATCCACAACACTTCCAACTCCGTTATTGTTGCTGTACATATTGGTCACAGCTCTTCCCGACCGCCCCCACCTTGCACAACGAACACTCCACATACCACTCCACATGGATCGCTTTGCGTAGAAATGCAAGCTTATTACCGTCGAGCAGCTTCACCGACTGTCAGATCAATCCGCGAATCATTGTATCATACACACGTGTCCCTCATGATACATTGTAGCCGAGAGTTGAGATATCGCAAGCGGAATTCGGCGATCCGCGTTCATTGAACTGTCACCAGCAATTTGGCCACCTGTGAGCCAAGAAGATATGATGTATGTACGCAGCAGGTCACTGGTCGCGCAGAACGACATGATCCCTGGACAAAGGGATGCTGCATAGCCGGCGTCGAGCGAGCCCGCGGCTTCCAGGTCGCCATTGGCTGTTCGAAACTGTGGCAGAACTACGAAGACTTGCGTTGGTCTAGCCGGGTGGCCGGTGCAATGCAGCTGATGCCAAAGCTGATGCGTTTGTATCGATGGAAGAAGCAGATCAACAAGCATCATCTCTTGCCCAGATGAGACAAGAAGCATACCACCGCACTGACAGAAACCTGTCCAAACAGTCGAAGCCTTCACAGCCCGCCAAAAACGAGTTGAACGCTCCTGAAGGATTCTAACGCTGCGTTCCCCACGATAGCGCATGAGTTTATCACTGTTGATTGGCTCAACTACGTGCGGTTCCCACAGCTCTACCATGGTACAATTTCTCAGCGGCGTGAACCGGCCGCACACTCTTAATTCGCCGTACGGCTGCCGACAGTATGCTTGCTTTTACGTCAAGGCGACTCCCCGCTAAGACTGGTTGCACGTGCGGCGGGGCAGATGCTTCCTTCCTTGTTCAGTGTCGGAGATCAGGGTCCAAACATGCCTGATCATTGAGGTAAGAGCCTTCAGCAAGCCTCGTTCCTACTCTACCTTTGCAAGTCTTACCATGAGCTTGTCACTCTTGGGCGGCGCAGTATACGAATCCATCTGCTCGATGCCTGTATCGTCGACGATCGTGGTGCTGTAGTTGGAATACAGCGTTGCGACGATGTACTTCATCTCTGGATTCAGTCAGCGTCTAGCATCCATGTCTTGGGAACGGAGCGCCCAAAAGCAACCATGGAGGATCAGCACTTACGATATATCGCCAAGTGACTTCCAACGCACATGCGTCCGCCACTGTCCATGATAGTGAGTGTCAGCGGTCAACGTGCTTCGAGAAGTAGTACTGACCTTCCAAAGGCCCAAAACCACCGGCTCTCCATATCCCTCCGCTTCTCCTCGTCTAGCCTGTCCAGGTCCAGCCATCGCTCTGGCCTCCACTCGTTTGCACGCTCGAACACTTCCTCGTTGAGGTGCAATAGGCCCGCGCTTGCGCTCACCCTTACTCCACTAGGAATGTGGTACGAAGCCTCTTCAGGTCCAAGTTGACAGCCTTGCGGCGGCGTGAAGCGTGGCTGTGGGCCCGGAATGGCCGAATGAAGACGCAAGGTCTCCCATATGACGGCATGGAGGAATGGTAGGCTGTCTACAGCCTTAGCATCAGGCAGTGTCGGCGCTGATGACGGGATAAGCTGCGGCGAGAGACCAAGCAGCTCAGCGCGAAGACGGGCCTGGATTCCCGGATGTCGCGAGACCTCGTGGACGACGTAGGCCAGTGTTATCCCGGACGTATCGAACCCGGCCGCAAGATGGTCCAGCACCTCGCTCGCAATTTGAGTCTGTAGTGCGCTCTCCCCACCCTCCTTCGCGGCTTTTGCCATGGTGTTTTGGAGCTGCTGCCACACCACAGGTCGCTCCTCGATCTGTGCATCGCCTGCGCTCGAGACAGCACTAGCATCGTCGCACATCCTCACCGTCCACCTCTCGATCTCACCGTTCGCCTCATCGACCCACTTCGGTGTCAATCGGTAGCCAAGCCACTTCTCCACAAAGCTAGTAAATCGTGGGAACTCCTGCGGCCAGAAGTTGTAGGATCGACGCGAGTTGTACAAATCAAGAAACCACGCAAGCTGCTTTCGGTCATCGATTAGGTTCGAGCCTGCCTTGAGCCCGAAGATGAAGCACGTCACAATGTCCATCGTGGTCGCGCTGAGTAGTGCGTAGACGTTCAGGACACCCTTCTCAGACTCGGTGAATGTCGTCTCCAGATACGGCAAAAAGCGCTTGTACATAATGGCAGACGTCTGGCCGAGCAGTGCCTCGCTTGCCGTGACATGAGACTTGCTATAGATGTTGCTCAGCATTCGCTTCCTCTGGGAATGCGGCTTATTGCGTCCAGTGGAGAACATGTTGTCGACTCTACGATGAGTCAATGAACGCACGGTCGGTCATCTGACAGTGCTTACCCTCCATAATTCGAAAAGAAAGCATACCAATTGTACCCATCCTTGGCACTGCTTTTCTCAAATCCCCCGGCATAGACGTCTCGGATCCCTCCTTTGACGCAGTTCACGCTGATCTCGCTGGGTCCCAAACACACAATTGGGCCTAAGCGGTCATGCGCTGCCTTCAGTGTCGCATTCTCGATACCCCGCCATCGGACTGAGTGCATCCAGAGTGAAGTGATATGCGCCAGCGGATGGGCAGCGGGGACCTTTCGCAGTGGATTGCGCACATAGCTAGCCAGCACTTGGAGGATGAGCAGAAGTGGGAAAAGGATACCCAGGGCGGAAATGGACAGGCCGAGCATCGTGTTGTATCGTGCCACAACCCCCAAAAGCAATTGTAGAGGCGTCTTCGAGAATGCAGGAACGCAAAAGAAAAGGCAGATGTCAACGACGCCTTGCGAACGACAGCGCTAGACTCGGGCTCTCTCCCGCTTCGATCGGGATATCCCACTCTGACATCCCCGCAGCACATCACTCTTATCGCAACCCGGTCCAACCGCATCAGGACTAGTGCTCTCAGCCCTATCCGTCGCTATCCAGCCACGAACATTGTCAGCCTCCCTCAAGTCTCAACACGCGAATCGAGATTGATGGTGGATGTCTGGCAAAGGGGTTGACGACGAATGTGTCACAGTACACGATCATCGCGTGCTCACAGCCTTGGCATGCGGTATCGGCACCCCAACGGCGCTTCAGGTTGCACAAGTCACTAGAGGAATGCAATGCAACGCGCTGCACTGTGATGCAAGGAGGAGCGAAAGCGGCGAGTTACATTGAAGATGGAGTTCTTCCTTGGGGAACGCCGGTGTTCGGCATCTTTTACCAGCGACGAGCGGAAGAACGGGTTCTGCTTACACAGACCGTATGAGATCGTCCTTGCGTGCAGAGAAGATCAGACTGGGCGTCAATCGTTCGAACGAGAAGTTGGTATGCTGGGTGATATCATAGAATTTTCGTCGATGTGTGGAGCAGAGAGAAGATCCCAGGTCATACTCACTTGAAAATGCCATGGAGACTGGTGGGTGACGGGCTGCACTGTAGCACGACATGTTCGGTAAACAATTTGTGTCCGCTGTGGTGCGAGGGTCGGTACGGGATACAGTTTGAAAGTCCGGGACTGAATGACGAGAAGCTCAATTGGACATCTCACGCAATGAGCAAGAGAGAAAGCTCATTGTGATTGGATAAGCGATGTACTCTCATGCTCGCGATACGCACCCTTGTTGTGCGTGAGATTTCAGTATATCGTTGTTCTATCTTGCAATTGCCCGACCAGTCCCCAACTCCGAAGGTTGAACTTCGTACCATGCGCTTCTGTCCTCCCGTCTCTGCCATTCTTCGTCGCATGCGCATCCACTAGTGTACCAGTGAGGCCCCAAGTAGTGATGTCGTTAGACATATACCCTATGATTTACTGGCGCGCTACATCAGCAGGTTCAGTCTCAGATACGGGGTCCTACTGACTCACCTATTGAGGGACCAATGTGTTCTTCAGAATGAATTGATATGCCACTTTAACAACATCGTCCAGAAAAAGAAAATAGGACTTGGAATAGAAGTGGAGATATGATGTTGATATGCTATGATCGTTTATCAAAGTAAGTAGACCATATCTATTCGCGCGTGGTATCTACGTCAACAACATCCGAACAACCACAGCATCACCATTGAGTAGTCTCCATATTTGCAGCATATTACCTTGGTTCAAACAACGATGATCCGATCTATATCAGGCAGAATGTAAAAAACGTACCGTCGAGGGAACAGACTGCACACACTCAGTTTGTACTTGTTATGTCAATAGACTCTACGGGTACAAATGGAGGTAGTTGACTCTCTAGATTTTACCTACAGGTAAGCGTTTCCTACGAAGACGTTCCTAAGTAACTAGCTGCTCATCAGGTAGAACAGCGATGAATATACAAAATCAAAGTATACCTAGATACCCACCTAGGCGTGTAATCGTTCTCAGATGAAGCATCGTAGCTACAATTGCAAACTACGCTACGTAGTCACCTAGCTGCCTTCGCAATTTGAATGCACCAATGTAACTACATCTACCTGCATATCCACCGTGTCGTTATCTGCGGGCCATCCATGATGACATGGCTCCCATAACCTGCAGGAGTATGTAGCCGAGTGTGTGCGCTGAATGTGGAGACATGGCAGCACTCTTCGGATCCGTATTACTACCTGGCTCGAGCGCGGAGCGCCCTGGGGCTGTTAGCTAGATCAAGCGCGTTGGGATAAGACAACAGTAGAAGGTGGAGCAGAAGTGGGGATTGTGATAGATGTTTAGTGTGAAGAGAACTAAGACAGCGTCACTACTACCCGTCGTTTGACACGAATGCTACCAGCGACAACAACAAGACTATAATACCGCCCCTGGGACGTCGTACCCAAATGCATCACCGAGAATATTCCATAGATAAACATACATCCCCTGGATTGAAACTCAGCATGTGTTCTTCTCCAGGAAGAGAGTCTAAGAAAAGAATCCTCACACTCTCTTCTCAGAAGAAACCACATATCAAGTTTAACTCAGGATATATATGCAGATACATTAAATAACGCCCCCGCTTCGCAATCCCATTCCATCCCAAGGTATCTCCGTAATGCATATACACCAATAGCCCCAACCAGCTTACAACCATAACACTACAAAGAATCGAAGCCCTAGTTCTCCGCGCTGAAACATAAATAGAAAGGGAGAACGAGAAAAAGGTTAGTTAGGTGTCAGATCAACACCACCACCACCGATACTAAATATTACAAGACGTGAGCGGGAGAAGTGAAGAAAGTGTTCAGTAACACTCATGCATCCTGCATGATAATATCATCGTCCTCCTCGCCCTCGGCATCAACATCCATATCCCCCTCTTCCTCATCATAGTCGCCATCGGCGTCGATGTCCTCATCATGCTCCTGTTCTTGTTCCTGTTCCTCTTCAATAGGCAGCGCTTTGCCTTTCCCCTTGAAGTCAATGCTACCCCTCGAGCTAGCAGAGCTCCGTGTACTCCTCCTTCCGTTGACAATAACGGCCTTGACCGCGCCTCCGTCTGAGACGTCGTCGCCATTGGTGACGCTTTCGCCGAGGCGGCTGCGTGTGCGGCGGAGCGAAATGGTACCGGGCGTGAGGGCGCCGTTGGCGGAGGGCGACATAAGGGCTTTTGCGCCGCGGCTGGGCGAGAGTTGCATTTTGGATACGGGAGCGGTGTGGATGGAGAGGGAGGTGTTGCGGACGCGATTGGGGGTGCTGGTACGTCGGCGGGTGCCGAAGGGGCGGCCGGGGCGGCGGCGCTGTGCAGGTTGGCCGGGGATGGGAGGAAAGATTTCGTAGCGGGAGGGCGGGATTGCGGGTTCGTCCATGTGGGAGCCGGCGAGTGCGACGGTGGAGCCGTTTGCGAGGGGTGTGCCAGGGGCTGGTGAGCCGCCGTTAACAGAGTCTTCGGCGGGGTGGGGGCCGTCTGCTTCCTCGCCTGTACCGTTGGCTTTTGCTGCGGCCATCTGAACTCCTTCCTCGGGTGCGGGCTTGTCTTCTTCTTCGATTTCGTCGCGCTGTTGTACTGTCTGCAGGGCGGGTCCATCTTCGTACTGGCCTAGACGTCCCATGACGTATGGTGTCCATATCAGACATTCCGGGTTAATTTTCGGGTTGCCTGCAGCGTTGCATTTCTCAATGTATGACTTGAAGTAGTTCAAATCAAGGCGAAGCGCGTACTTCTTCGTGACAGGGTCGCGCACGAGAGCTCGTAGGCCTTCCAACGCTGATACAATGTCATCAGGTGTCATGCCGGTGCGATCTGATATAGCCGATATGCTGATCGCAGCCTTTTGTTGCAGTAGTTCCTCACACAGGACAAGCCGCCAGTATTTCCGATAACTCACCAAACCCATGTCACTCAGAGGTTTCTCAGGACTTCCAGTCTTTCTCTCCACGCGCGTCAGGAGGTAGGAGAACTCGATCAGGTATTGTCCGTAGCCTTTGCGCATGTGAATGGGAAGTACGAGAATACAAGAAACGTTGTTGAGCGAGCTGGGACGCTTCTCTTTCGAAAAGTAGCCGACGAAATGACACCCGAAGTTGTCATTTTCTGTCATGACGTAGAACAAGAAGGGCTCAACATCGTAGTATAGCGTCTTGGAACCGAGGAACAACTTGGCGAGCAAACAGAGATTCTGGCAGTACACTGGATTCTTTCGGCCATCGACCTCGAAGAAAGAGTACTTGCCGTCACGGTAAATCTCGTCGCCAGGAGGGTGCTTCGCTGGGCATTTGAGCTGCGTTTGTTAGTACATGGTCATGGAAAAAAGTCGAGCTGCTTACCTTATGCCGCCATGCCACGTAATCCGAGTTCATGTACTTGAGACAGAACTCGCATATGTAAAGCACCCGGTTTTTGCTGTACTCTTCAGGATATGGCGCAGCGTGCCAGGTGTCGATCTCCCAGCCACCGAAATTGACGCATTTGATCTTGCTCGCCGTGGTTGCTTGCTTGTGCGACCGGAGTGGTTCGGGCGGGTAAAGTGCGGCCTGCTTCACTTTCCATTCTTCTTCAGCCTTGATGCGAGCATCGTCGAACCGCTTCCGGTCGGCGGGCGAAGGATAAGTCTTCGATGTATCGGCATCCGCTTCTGAAAGTACACCACCGTAGGGCTTGCTCTTGACCTCGTCTGGCTCCCTGTCGGTGAAGCCTGGGAACGGAGCGGCATTTTGAATGTGTATTGTTGGGTAATGCAAGACCTCTGAGGATTCTCGTGCAGCCTGTGCAGCCCGACGGTTTCTTTCGCGACGTTCTCTATCCCTCTCGCGCCGCCTCTCCTGTCGCTCTTGCTCGCGCGTGAGTGTCTTTACTTTGGGCTTGGCGGTGACAATCTTCTGGACTTTCTCGTTGTTGAGATGGAAAGCGATAATCAGGCTTCCAGGCTGGGCCTCTTCGATCCATGCGAGTGGTCGTTTGTCGGTCCTCTTAGGCTGACCACGACGTGCTCGCGCTGGTCGTAAGCGACCTGCCTCTCGATCTGAACCAGTGTGCTCTGCCTCGCCTCCACTCTCGTGACCATCCGTCATGACGCTACGAGCACTTCGTACGCTTCTTGAAGGTGGCCGGGGTGAGACTGCAGGCACTGATGGCGCCGCATCTGAGTTGGATGCTTCGGAAGGTCTCCGCTTCTTCCGTGTTTGCCTCGACGGAATCGGCGCTTCCTCTTCCTGCGAAGTCTTGCGTTTGCGCAGCGAACGTATTCCATCTGCTGATTCGTCGGGAAGAATTAGCTCTTTGAAGATTGAATGTCCTTCGGG